ACGAGGGGGGAGGGAACGGGCCCCTGGCAGGTGAAGGGTACGAGGTGGGAGGGAACAGGCCCCTGGCAGGTGAAGGGTACGAGGGGGGAGGGAACAGGCCCCTGGCAGGTGAAGGGTACGAGGGGGGAGGGAGCAGGCCCCGGGAGGGGAAGGGGGGCGGGGGGGAGGGGAAGAGCGAAGGGTACGGGGGGGGAGGGAACAGGCCCCTGGCAGGTGAAGGGTACGAGGGGGGAGGGAACAGGCCTCATGGCAGTGGAGGGTACGAGGGGGGAGGGAACAGGCCCCTGGCAGGTGAAGGGTACGAGGGGGGAGGGAACAGGCCCCTGGCAGGCTGAGCAGGCCTGTGGGAGGGGGAGAACAGGCCCCTGGTGGGCAGGTGCGATACCCCCATCTTGAGCCCCTCCTCAGCCCCCATTCTCATACTCTCCACCCCTGAGTCTCCTGTCCCCCCTCCCACATGCCCAAGGCCCTGCCCTGAGGGACCCGGGCAGCACAGGGTGAGTCTGCTAGGGGAAGATAATAAGCAGGTAGGTAGTGGTCAACATGGATTTGTCAAGAACAAACCAACCTTATGTTCCTTCTTTGACAAAGCAACAAGCCTTTGAGGACAGGGAGAAGCATTAGATGTGACAAGTCTCCTGATACGGTCTCACCTGCCTTCTCCTCAACAAACTAGAGGAACGCAGCCTAAACGCACCTGCTGTAAGAGGGATGCACAAGGCATTATAAAAGCAACTGAGAGTAGTCACAGCCAAGCTGGAAGGGCAGATTGAGTGGGGTCTCAGGGATCTGTCCTGGGGCTGGTTCTGTTCAATTTCTTCAGAAATCATTTGGATAATAGGGATGTCAAAACCCCATTCAATTGGTTAAACACATTGTTTGCCCAGTTAACCAATTAATGGGGGGAGTATGTGGGGGAGCAGTCAAGCCTGACCGAGCTGGAGTGGCCCCCCCATTTCAGGAAGGGGTTGCTTCAGCCCAGCCAGAGCAGCCCCTGCCTGAAGGACGCCCAGGCCCGCCACGACAGGTTAGTCTCTAAGGTGCCACTGGACCACTCGTTATTAAATCAACAATGTAATTCTTCTGCAAAGAAGGAAGCATAATTCTTGGATAAATTACCAGAATGCTGAAAGCAAGACACAAAAAATAATTCTTCCACTCTAGTCAGCCTGATAAGGCCGCAACTGGAGTTTTTTGTTCAGTATTGAGCACTTCCCTTCAGGAAAGATGTGGAGAAACTCTAGAGGAGAGGAACAAAATTATTGAAAGTCTAGAAAACACGGCTTACAAGGAAAGACAGAAAATAATGGGATTGTTAGTCTGGAGAAGACAGAAGGGGGACATAATAGCCCTAAAGTACGTAAAAGGTTGTTTAAAAGACAAGGGTTTAAAGAGTAGGTTGTTTTAAGAGGATAAATTGTTCTCCCTAACCACTAAAAAAACACATTTTTTAAAAGGGCTTATTGTACTAGATGACACATCAAGGCACCCTCCAGTCCTACATTTCCATGATTCTGTGATCAATATGAAACTTTTATCCTAACGAAAGAATGTTCGATTGTTACATTCCCAAGACTGTGACTCGCAAAGAAACCAAAATCCTGCAAACCTGAACTCTTCATAGGATGCCACCTTCTGGTGAACGGCTCGGAACTTGGCATCATTTTCTCTTTGGTACTTTTCATCAGCAGCAACAGCAGCCTGCAGCTCTCTCTCTAATGCACAAAAATCTATTGCTTCAGCCTCCTCCATTCCAAAGATCTAAGAGCAAAACATAAAAACCACAAGAGTGACTTTAGTGCATAAGCATCACACAAAGAGAATACAGTACTCCTTTCTCTTTCACAGCCACCCATTTCATCCCCAGAATTCTTGCTAGACTTACTGTAAGTAACTACTAGAGTGTGTCATGTGCTAATGATCCCACCTCAGTCAAGCAAACTCCTGTCTTAAATAACCACTTGAAAGGATGCCCAAGTCTCCAGTGCAATTTTTAATCTGTTGTTAAAGACCAACCTCTACTACACAAAGTGGTTTTGTTCTGGAGTCACAGTTTGTCACATAAAACAGGTGTTATTGTGTATTGCTTGATCATCACACTCCCTGAACATTAACTGAAGGCTGCTGTCACACAAACTTTGCTAAAATCCCCCACTAAGAATGTGGTGGTTAATAAAGTCTCAGGGGGCAACTGTGTTCATCTGTATCTGTGAAAACTAGAACTCCTCCTGTGAGCACCTTGAAGACCAACAGATTTATGTGGGCATAAGCAGCCCAAAGAAATCTGTTAGTCTTTAAGGCGCCAGAGGACTCCTAATTGTTTTTCAGTTAATAAAGCCTAAAGTTTACAAATCGGCAATAGGCATGTGGGGAGAGTGTAAAATATTCAAGGTCAGATTCAGATGCCAGTAAATAGAAAGCCCTATGTGCCAGGCAGGAACCTTTCCTCTTGCTGAGTAGCACAATACTCTGCAAATCTCCTGTTTCATGGCAATACTCCTGGAGTGAGGCCCTTCCCAAAGTACACAAGAGGGTAAGGATGTTAAATACTGGTTAATTTACTAGTCGAGTAGTCGATCGGCACTTCCGCATTCCTCCTTTGAAATGTAGAAGAGCCCCTGCACTTCCGCATTCCCCAGTGGAGGCTCTTGTACATTTCAAAGGGGGAATTCGGAACTCTGCGTGCAGCCCAGGGCCAGCGGGAAGTCCTGCTGACTCCGGATTGCGTGCAGGCGCTTCTGCATCGAAATGCACAAGAGCAAAAGGGGGAGGGGAGGGCAGCTTTGAACTGTACAAGAATCCTCAGCAGTGGCTCTTGTGCATGTCAAAGCAGAAATGCCTGCACAGAGCCTGGGGTCAGCAGGGGACTCAGGGTTACTTTGAAATGCTGCACGGAGATGGGGTCAGCTGAGGACTTTCCAGCTGATCCCGAGCTCTGCGTGGCATTTCCAAGTAATCCAGGATCAGCTGGGGACTCCCCAGTGGACCCCAGGCTCCGCGTGCTTTGAAATGCTGCATGCGGAGCCCAGGATCAGCTGGAAAGTCCCCAGCTGATCCCGGGTGCCAAGGAAATGCTGCGCGGCGCCTGGGTCAGCTCTGGACTCCCCAGCTGATCCTGGGCTCCGCGTGGCATTTCAAAGCGGCAGCGCCACGTTTTGTTTATCGAATAGTTGACTAGTCCTTAACATCCTCACAAGGGGGTGCAGCGTGGCACCCAGGGTTTAAGTTCAGGGTGCTGAAGGAAGAGCTGGTGTAGCTGGAAAGCTTGTCTCCTGCAGCAGCAATGGGGGGTCCAATAGACAAACTTTCAAGCCACATGGAGCACTGGGAGGAGGGGGCAGGGGGTGGCAAGCTGAGCATCTGCTCCCTGTGTCTGGCATCCCTCCCCATCCCCTCCAGGCCCCCCAGCCTCCCCCCACATC